GACGGGCACCAGAGGGGCCGAGTGCCAGCCAAGCCCGGGCACGGCCACCTCGTAAAACGGGCTTTTTAATTAACCGGAGGAATAAAGCCGTGGACAGTCCGTAACCATGGCGACGCAGAGCCGATCCCGGAGGATCCCCAGCCAGCTGGAATATTTGCTGGATGGCAAAGCTTCAGACCAACGTTTAATGGTGTTCGACTCTATTCGGGGAAACAATTACATGCTCCATTTTCAATGTAGTCAGCTGAACAATAGATTAAATGAAGCAATTTAGGCAGAGGCTCCTCCGCTGCTGCCGGGCCCACAGGGCCGCTCCTGTGCTGGGCTGGAGTGCTGCCTTCAGGTGTGGGGACAGCCCACGGTGAGAGTCACCCTCACTGGGCTGGGACAGCTCCTTGCACTGGTGGTGGCCCCAGCACACCCTCCTGGGCTTTGCTGGGTGGCCCAACCACACTCTCAACATGACCAGAGTTGGGTGGTTGGAGAGGCTGTGCACAGGACACCTTCCCTGCCCGCCTGACTTTGCACACGCAGAGCGTGTTGTGTCCCCTGCTGGTTTTCTCCCAGCTCACTTTGGGCTCTCAATCTCTGCAGGCTGCTGAGACTGGCTGAGACCCCAGTCCTGGAATGGCTGAGGGAGCTGGTGGGTTTTCTCCTGCAGAAAAAGGGGGCTCGGGCAGGACCTTCTCACTCTGTGCAACTCTCTGACAGGAGGGTGGAGCCAGGTGGGCTTTGACCTCTTCTAAGGCAATAAGAGACAGGACAAGAAGAAATGGTCTCAAGTTGTGCCAGGGGAGGTTTAAGCTGGGTATTAGGAAATTTCTTCATGGATAGGATTGTCCAGCCCAAGGCAGTGGTGGAATCACCATCCCTAAAAGTGTCCAAAAATCTTGTGCATGTGGCACCAGGGGACATGGGTGAGTGGTGACCTAGGCAGTGCTGGACTCAGTGATCTTAGAGGGCTCTTCCATCCTCAATGATCCCACAGCTCCATGATGCCCTCCCCCCATCACCCTTTCTCCTCCATGACACGGGCATGTCTCTGTCTCTCACCTCCCTTTCCCAGAGCTCACCCTTCCGCGGCTCCGTGACCTCCTTTCCCGTGCAGGAATAGCCTGTTCCCGCCCGCTGTGTCATCGCCGGTGCACACAAACCACCTCACGGACAGCAGACACGCCGGCCAGAGAAACGCCTTTTAAGGCCTGGCTGGGATTGAATTAATCACTGCCTTTATTTTATTAGTATAAAAAATGCGGGTCTCTAGAATATTTTCGAAGATGACATCAGCGTCTTCGGTGCAGTTTGGATTTTACTGTTGTTATTATTGCAGCTATTCAAAGAATGTGAGGAGTAGGGGAGGCCGGTGACTCCTTCGCTGCCGCCACGCCTTGGTCGGGCTTGTTTTTCCTTCTCCTTGACCTTGGCACATCCACAGCAGGACAATCCACCCCGACCTCCTACATCATGTCCTTTTTCTCCCAGTAATTGGTTGGTTCCCTCGGTGGTTGAGTTTATCATGTCCAATCTGATACTCATGGCAGCCTTTCTCCTCCGCGGTGTTCAGCGAGTTTATTATCCCCCCCTTTTCCTCAGCTGGCTGCTCCATCCCAGCCCTTTCACCTGGGGCTTTATAACCATGGGTAGGTCTGACAGCTAATGGACAAGCCTGCTCTTGCACAATTGCTCCATGAGAACGTTCCTTGGATTCGCCATCAGCATTCCCTGGCAGCTGAAAGCAGAAGGGCTTTTTTGGGGGGCCCATCTCAAGACCTTTTCCAGCCCCCTGAGGTCGGGAGGATGAGCACATGGAACTGATTGCTTCCTAAGTGCCATCATCCAGTTGGGCTGTAAAATCCCAGTTTGTTCCTGAAAATGCAGGAACATTCTCCTGCTGATGACTCAGCTCGTACTGAGCATTAATGGAAGAGGGTTATTAGGGTTACTCAAACGGGGGTTACTCAACTGGGTATTTATCCCCATGGGAAGAGCTCTGTCTCCTCACTCACCCTTTTCTGCTCCTTTTGGGAAAGCAAACTCCAGGGCTCATTGCAGGTTCCGGCGTGTTCCATCTTGAAGAGAAACATTTGCCTCCAAGGCAGGAGGAAACCATCCAAGAGCCTCCTCCTTCTCCTCTTCCTCCTCTGACTCTGCCCTTTCTCCACCTGACCGTGGACCTCTGGCACCACCACACTCTTGTGGCTTGGAAAGGTCCTAGAGAAGAAAGCAAAATGCAGTTTTTTCCTGAGGTTTTACAAATTGCTGCTGTGATTCCCTGGCCTGAGTCCTGCCTGGGAGTGGTGGTGGTGGAGGGGACAGAGGAGCTGCCCAGGGGTGGCCGTGGTGGGACCACCAGCCCTGGAATGGACCCCTAAGAGCAAAGCCATCAAAAATGAGTTTGGTCTCTGCTTCCATCTGTGGAGCTCAGTAGCAGAGGACAAAAGAGGGAGAAAGAGGGAAGAGGGAAGAGGGAAGAGGGAAGAGGGAAGAGCCAGGCTAGGCTCGAGAACAAATTGTTTATCTGTATTTTCCACAAAGCATCAGCAGTTCTTTAAAGAGGACAAAACCAGAGGGACCTTCCAGAGGAATCCTTGTAGGGGCTGTGGAGGTATAATTAGTTTCTATATTTGACCAATCTAAAAGTTTATCTTGAAGTCTCCTGTATTTTTTAAATATGACATCAATGTCTTCGGCTTTGCTTTGATTGTCCTTAACGACCAGGTTTTATTATTGTTATTTTTTTTAAACTATTCAAAAAAAACCTTGAGAATATTTACTTAAGGCATAAAAATACCCCTGAATTCTGATGTCTTTGGCAGAGAGGTGGCGGTCCCGTTGCTTTTGCGTGTGATAAATACTCCTGCTGCCATGTTACTCCCACCACAAATTCAGCGATTGTTTAATTTTCAGCTCAATTTTTAAAAACCAAAATGTTCGGAGCCGAGTTAATGCTGTATTAATTTTTTAAAGCAGCAAGGCAAAGTGGCCCATAACATAAATATTTTACCAACCATTTATAAATACCGTGGCTGCTGAAAAAGAACAACACAGTTGATCACGAGGCTTTGGAGGCTTCGTGCTCCGTGCGAGCGGTGCCAGCGGCAGCGCGATCCAGCGGGATGGGGGATCCAGGCTGGGAGATCCCGGTAGCAACTCAGGTCTGGAGTTTTTTTTTTTTTTTTGTTCCCATTTCTCCACTAATTTTTGTGTCCTAGAGATGATTTTGAGGAAAAATGTGACGCAGCTGCTCCTGACCGTGGGGAAATCTGTTCTCCATCCCTGTCCTGCCTCACTGGGAGCTGGATCATCTCAGCTCTTCTGGAATTGGGCAGGATGCTCGGCACTGAAATATGGAGGGCACCACATCTCCTTTCTGGGGTCACTCCTCCAACCCTGACCTGGGGACTGGACAAATTCTCCTCCTGGATTTCCCTGTGGATCAGCAGTGGCAGCTCCCTCCATCCCGTACCCACCCCGAGACCCTCCATTCTATGATGGGGGATGCAGACAACTGGGAACCTTGCACAAAACCAAACCAGATCCCCCAATCTCGCAGTGGTTTTGAGACCAGCATTTCCAGCAGGAAAAGCTACAGGTGATCAGGGTTTGTTCTGTCCCTGGTGGGAACGGGGAGGGCTGGAGACAGGAGGAGACACGGGAGGGAAAGAGACTTTCTAAAATTCACTTTCAAACAAGTGAAAACATCATTAACCAAATATGTGGCCCTTTGTGGGGAGGATAATCCTCCTTTCAGATGGTAACAGGAGGAGGTATAACAAGGTTTGGCTGCTTTCTCTTCAGAGCAGGAACAGTAATTCCGTAAGTACATCTTGGGAAGGTTTCCAAAGGGTTGGGAAGTGATAAAGCAATAAAACTGAACAGGTACTTCTGAGAGCAGGAATGGGGTGTAATGGGCATGAGCCCACATGGACCTGGCCATGCACCCAACTCCTGCCTCAGGAGCAGAGCGAGGAGGGTCCAGGGTGGGAAGTGACCATGGGAAAGGAGATGGGATGGGATGGGATGGGATGGGATGGGATGGGATGGGATGGGATGGGATGGGATGGGATGGGATGGGATGGGAAGCCTCTTCTCCACAGGGCTGAGTTCTGGGTGGGCCTGTGGAAACAGTGGGGGATGTGGAATGTGCAGGGGAGGCAGGAACACAGCAGAGAGAATGGGGCAGAGCCTCTGGAGTTTGACTCTCTGGATCGAAGAAGCCAAATCCCTGTCCCTGACCCTTGGACTGCTTTCCTTGAGCTGAAGGCTGAGCTGATAATTCTCTCCCTTAGGAAAAGCCACCAGGGAGGCAGGGCTATTTCCTCCTCAGATTGGGTGATTTTATGGATGTTTGCACAATTCCCAGACTGCTTCAGATGGGAGCCATCCAGGAAGAGATCCCCACCTTTCTGGGAACACATGGGAAAAGCAAACACATCACCCTCCCTTTCCTCCCCTTGCCCCATGGGCAGCTCCTGCCTGAGTTGAGCTGCTTTCCCCCAGGGAAGTGGGGCGAGTTTCCCTGCCTTCCATCCCCATTCCTCCTTCTGCAGGCATTCCGTGGGACATTTCACTTCCCAGGCTTGTGGGTGCTGTGGCTTTCCCACTGCTGGGTCCACATGGACAGTCTGGCACAGGAGAAACTGCAGCAGCCAATCTGCTTCCCAACCATGGGCTGTTGGGAGGAAGATGTCAGCCCCTGACGGGAAGCACCACCAGTGTGGTCGGGCTGTATCCAGGCATCCCAGGATGTAAACACCAAACACACGCAGGGTTGCCAGAGGAGATGGGATGAAATGAATAACGTGGGCTCAGTGCCAGGTTCCCGGTGGCACACGGCATTTGGGGCTGCTGGAGTGTTTTGGGGGTACAGGGAATGCCTGGGGGATTTGGGAGAGACTGGGAAATGCGCTTCAGGTCGCTCAGATCCCCCAGACTTGCTGGGGGGTTCTCCACCAGCCCCTCTGACCCGAGCCAGGGGGAAAAAGGATCCCTGCAAAGCTTCCTGCCAACATGCTGACAGCCCTCTGGCTCCTCCTGGAATGTGGCAGCAGCTCCATCCCCAGCAGCTGGAGCAGGACTGAGGTTTCTGCACCCCAACAATAGCAGAGCACGGGCCAGCCCATGGGCCCCGGGGCGCCCTGTCCCTGGACATGCTGGGGACACTGGGACACGAATCCAAGCCTGGATGTTTCCTCCCCGCCTCCCTCCTCCCCTCCTGTCCCCCCGGCCTGTCTTGTCTGCATCCGATGCTCCAGCGAGTATTAATAGAGTTGCAAAGTCTGACGTCTCAAAGGAATCCCCTGTTGGGAAGAAGCTGCTCCGGGGGCTGGCAATGGGCTGGCTCATCCCTTCCACCACGGCACTCCCGGGCTGCTCCCGGCACAGGCCCTGGGCTTCACGGGGCTCCTGAACTGAGACCCAAATTACAGGGGTTTGGGGGTGCACCACATCCGCCCATTTAAGCGTTTAATGGGGTTTTACTCGGGGCATTTTTACAACTTTAATGCACTTAGCACTAATTTGGGGAAGTTTAATGCAAAACACATAAATGTTGGATGGGAGACGGCCGAGGTGTTTTACAGCCGCTGGGAATTACACAAAGTACGTGGGGCTCGTTTCGGCTTCTGATATCACTCAGCACAAAATTACCTTTGGCTGGCGGGGTGCCAGGGCTGCGGCGGGCGGGCGTGACGGATGGAATGGCACTCTCGGAGCCCTGACCGGGGCCATACATAAAGCCCAGACCCAGGCGAGGGCTCAAAGCCTCCTTAATGCCTTCCCTAATCTGGCAGGATCAGGTTTGCCCGGTGCACTCGGAGCCGCTCCGGCTCCACATCCTCTGGTTTGTGTGGTCGCCTCAGTGCGTGTTGTGGGGAAAGCGGAGACGTCTTCGGTGCAAAGCAAGCGCCCCAGGAGGCCGGGAGGGGGGAACCCGCCAGGAAAACCGAGGGGGATGTGACGGGGCAGGGACCAGCTGAGCCAGCACGGTGTCTCTGCCCATCCGTTCACACCTCTTCCATCTCCACGAGCCCATTCCTCTGCACCCCACGGTCTGGAGGATGGAAATGGCTGTTTTCCCTCCTCTGTGAGCACGTGGTGTGAGGGATTGCTCCACTGTGAAAGCCAAAATGAGCCATGCTTGGGCCAGTGTTAGGACAAACTGGTTGGGTCCTGGGTGCAGCAAGACTGGAGCAACAGGGAGAGTATAAATCCACTGGGATGAAGGACATCCAAAAGCCTGTGGCAGAAGAACAGGCCCACAGCTGGGCATGTCCTCTGGAGGAACTTTGAAGGAGTGTTGAAAACTTGCTGCCTCTTTGGAGGAGAGGATTTGGCAGTGGGTTTGAGCCCAGCCTCACTCATGGTCGCTGAAATCAGCCTTGTTTAAATCAAACTCCCTGGGAACTGCATGGCAAAGCCAGAGGGAAAAGGGATGTCTCAGGAAAAGAGGCTGCCAGCAAAGACCCTGATCCCAGGTAGGGATGTCAGTATGAGCTGGAACTGTGCTATCTGGACCATGTCCTGAGTGCAGGCACTTCCCCAGCCTGCGGGAGCAGCTCATGCAGTGGATGCTCCTCTTCCTGGGAAGGAGACGACCTTCAGCCCTTCCTCGGGTCTGGGAGCTGGGAGAACACCCCACACAGCTCGCCCTGGGCACAGACAATTAGCAGGGTGAGCACCACCTACAACCACGCGAGAAACTACGCCCCCCAAAAATTGGTTTCTAGGTCAGTCCTTTAATTTTGCAAATGAGCTGCTTGTCACTGCTATGAGCAGGCTCTCCCTTCTCCAGCTGATCCCAAGGAAGCTGTTATGGCTTAGGTGTTATGGTTAGGAGGGTTTGTGTGCTCTCATTGTCCCAGATTCACTTGTTATGAGTCAGACCTTGTCCTTCAGGTGCCTACCAAGCATTAACTAACCGAGTCATGTCCAGTCAGTCTGTGGTGCTGCTTCCAGAAGTCAGCATGAGCTGAGAGCCAAAGGCACTAAATGCCTTATCCAGGGCCAGCAGCAAAGCCAGGTGGGTCATCTGGGCCACCAACACACAGCCCTGTGCTTCTTCCAGGGAGATCTCACTGCAAAGGCTGCTCTGGGATAGCTCCGAGGTGGGATGAAGTGTGGGGAGCAGCTGGAGACTGCCCAGGTGCCAGAGCAGGAAGGTTGGGGTTAGGGTTAGAGGTGAATTAATGCCAGTGTGATGCCCCATTGCACCCTCCCACCTGCACTGCTTGGGGCTCCCTGGTGCAAAGGGTGGGCACAGCTGGAGCCTCAGAAGGTCCATGCGACCTCAGCAGCTCACCAGGGATAGGGAGATGGGAAGGGTTGTGTACCAACATCACCTCTCTGTCTCTGTGAGCTGTCACAGAAGCTGTCCCAGCTGGATCCCTGGTACCTGTGCTGCTCCTGACATTGCAACGAGCTTTTCCCACCTTTCTCTTTGCTCCAGGTCGAACCTGCTGCTTTATCATAACAGGCCAAGGGGCAGATCAGCCCCACACCTCTGGCGTAGCAGTTGCGATCTGTTGGCCCCACACAGCCTGGTTAATCTAGTTATCCTATAACTAAACAGCTTATCTGTTCCTGGAGCGCAGCCAGGGACTTCTGCTTCCTCAGCACACATCCCCGGGCAGGAGCCGTGGACTGTGCAGTGACCCCAGCAGCACAACCTGTCTGAGCGATCCCAGCGCTGATTTCCAGCAAGACACATCTCAGACACTCATCCAAGCAGGGCAGTTTCCCTGTTCCCGAGCAGCCCTGCCAAATTCCACCAGAGCAGCCAACCTCGCCGTGCACAGTGACCTGCTGCCCACCGGGACTGCTGGCTCAGCTTCCAGCCCTGCTCCCTGTCACAGGGAGCCCTGGCAGGTCCTGGAATCTTTCCCGCAGGCGGGATTTGCTGCCTTTCCCTGTGCAAGGAGAGGAATGTGGAGCTCTGGCAGTGCCTTGTGACCGGTACCTCAGACAAACTCTTCAGCCCCCGGTTATGCAGAGCAGTGTGAAACCACTTCTGCTTGGAGAAGATTTGAAGCCCATTGCACTTGGCTACATTCTCCCTGGGGAACTCCCTGACAGCCCTGCTGATCCTTCCTCTAATTTTTTGCCTTTTCTTCTGCCGTCTCTTTTAATTACTTAAAAACCACCCCAAAATGAAATTACATCCAATAAATTCATGCTCCCAGGAGAGCCCCAAGATGCTTCAGGAAATTCAGAGTGAACACAGACCACATCTCTAGGATGCTCCAGGGGCTTTGGCAGGAGGTGACCAGGAGTCTCAGTGTTCATATTCCATTTGCTTCCCTCCTGACTGTCTCATTTACGGTCCCTGGGCGAGGACCTGTGCATGATCTGCACCCCGTGGGGCTGCCCTGGCAGTGGGGGCCCTGCTCTGCTGGTCCCCCCTGCTTAGAGAGCCCACCCC